CATAGTCCTTCTAGTGTAGCAAAATATGTTGCAACACTCATATCTCCTTGCCTCAAGGCAGCAATGTCTTGATTCAGTCTGTAAATTCTGGCATTATTTTTTTTCTGCCCATAGGTTTTAGACACTTTTTCCCATATCTTGGCAACCGTGGAGAAATGATGAACAGTCCTAGCTACTCTTGGAGTCATTGAAGCAAGTAGCCAAGACATAACTGTAGCATTCTCCTTGCACCAAGTTGCATATTCAGCACTCCCCACTTCGGGTTCCTTCTTCTGCCCGTCTAAGTAACTAGTGAGTTCCCGGGATGTGATGAAGAGCATGGCTGAAACAGACCATTCTCTGAAGTTGTACTCATCCAACAACACATTCGTGAACTGTAGGCTGTGCAGATTTGGATTCTCCAGATTAGAAGACCTCCCACAAGCCCTAACATCTCTAGAAGACACTTCCCCGGATATGGAAGACATCTTCTCCTACTTGTAAATGTCAAGACTCTAAACACAATATATAGAGAACTGTTTCAAACTTACAGAACTTGCTGCATTGTAAACTCAGTCCTGAGAACCCGTCACAGAGCTGAAACACCGAGTACTACACTGCGACACTGCCCTAATTACTGCTATCATAGACTATAATCTGTTGTGCTACCTTCTGCTGTGTTCTAATCACTGCTGCCGCAGCCTGCAACTTGCTGTGTTGGCTTCTACTGTGTGCTAATCACTGCTATCGCAGACTCTAACCTCACCCACGAACAGTTCTAGGACTGCTGAGATCAGTCCTCCCTCCTAGATCTGTTCTACACAGATCCCTCTTAGCCAAATGGCTACAGTCTATTGTACTATGTCTATTAGGGCATCACCTTCTGGGTCTAACTCCCCTTGGGCCCTACAACCAAGGGAAACCCTAGATGTAGGTTCTGCTGTGTTCTACGACCAACCCTAGGGTTTCTTTGCAGTAACCAAGATAGAAAAGAAGAAGAGAGAGAGTTAGATGCGAGTAGAAGAAGAAGCAGCTACTGTAACCAAGCGAAAGATTAGAGCTCTGATACCATGTTTGCTGGAATAAGGCTGCCGAATAAGAAGAGAAGAAGAAGAAGAAGGAGAAGATAAGAGAAGGGCGGCAATACCATCTCAGCCAGCTCTATTCTATTATATATAAGAGCATTACATAATGTTACATAAATAGACTAGAATGCCCCTGATTAGTGATGGGACACCTAGTCAAATAAAACACTAAATAAGATTAGGCCCAATAACTAATGACTTAAGACCCAACAAAGATAAACAAACAAATTAAGACAGTCGAACCAACATGAACAATGTTGATATGGCTTCTCCCTCCTAACCTAACTACGTGACTGGTGAACCTAAGAAAAGGAAGAACCAAAGGATGGGGGAGGTTGAGTCTTGGAGGCTTAGGAAATTCAACAAAAAGGAGGTTGAATAAAGCTTTCCACTCGAAACCATTTTTGCCTTCAACAATGCAAAATTCCTTTGGTTCTTCCATCCCCTTTCCAAGAAGCTAGTCTAACATATCTACTTCGGGCATTAACTCTTGATGAGGCAAAATAAAAAATAAAAATAAAAAAAGAAAAAGAAAAAAAAAGAAGAAAATTGAAAAACAAAATGTGAATGTATTCTGTTTTGCATGTTTTTGTAGTAGGATCCCAAATTGTTGTTTTTGGGTAGCTTTGTTGACAGTTTGGAACCGGGGTAATTTTGTCATTTTATAAGTCAGCTTCTAGTCAAGGGAAGTTGGGTGCATATCTATTGGGTTTTGGCCTCTTGGGCCTTTTTATAACAAAAGTTATCTTTTGGGGGTTCATTTGAAGTTAGTTTTGTTCTTAAGAAGTTGCTTGTGAGAAGGAAACATTCTAGGGGTTTATGTGTAAATATTTTAATTGGCTTCTCTAGCAAGCCATTGGGTCTTATAAAAGGGAAGGGGGGACTGTTTCTGGAGGGGTCTTTTTTGTTCCTTCTCTCTTGTTTGAGATGTAGCTCAGTCCCAGCTAGGGTTTTCAAGTATTGGGAGCTTGGGTTTTGAGGAGTCAACCCATTTTGGCACCTTCCAATCCCTCCATTGCTGCATGTCCGCACAGGAGGCCAGCTTGCTGCCATTGTTACTGTAGTGGAACTGTTCCAGGAGTTTTACTTCAGGTTTAGGTCTGAAACCCCTAAGAATCCAACTTTTTTGTTGTTTTCGTCTTGGTATTTCTTGTGCTTATTGCTGTATACTTGAAGTGTTTTTTTGTCTACATCAACTCTCAACTAAAAGAGTGTGTGATAGCCATTAAGGAAAAACTTCTTAGCTAGAGGTTGCTGGTTATTTGGGGCAGTTCAAAGGAAATGGGAATGTTCCAACTTCCAAAGTTTGTTGTTCACAAAGGAACAGTCTTGACCAAAACCCTTTTCCATGTTTGGTGATGCTGCAAAAATCATCACCTTCACTCAAGAGAAAGTCGATCTCAAAAGTTTTAGCCTCGATGGAAAGCAACTTAGGGAAGTAGTGGGATTGAGAGTTCCATGCAAGGGAACTCATTCCGACTAGGGTACCAAAGGGGGTCAAAAGAAACAATGAAAGGGCAACATGGGAAGATAGCAAAGAGGCATGATGTAAAAGGTAGGTCAGTGGTGGTAGAAGAACCTTATTTGGTCTAACTCAAGCAGGCACCAATCTAGGTGTGCTCAATGTTCCATAAGAAGTAGATAAACTGTCCTCAAAAGAAACTATTGTATCCTAAAATGCATAGAAATTACAATAAATTTTGTGGGAGGGTGGGTAATTGGTACTTGATAGATTTATTGAAGAAAAAATACACATACACAAAAAAAAGGAAAAGAAAAAAGTTGAATAGAAGAAAGAAGGGGAGAAAAGGAAGAGAAATAGAAGAGAGCAAGAAGAAGAGAAAAGTTCTTGTGTTTATAAACCCTTTACTTCTGTTTTGACCTAAAAGTGCTTATAAACCTTTCACATCTGTTTTGACTTATAAAGGCTCTCTTAACTTTACTATCCTATAGATGCAAGAGAAGTTCTTTGTATCAAAGATTCTGAAATTGATCATAAATGATGGTATATTAGATTGGAAGGTCTGAAGCTCGTCTTCTTCTATTTTCCTTCCCTAGCCCTTCCTACTTTGAATACCACTAGGTCAACTTTTTTTTCTTTATAAAAAATTTAAAAAAAAAAATATCTGCCATCTATCCAAAAGAAAGATGACCGCAAGGAACACCTACTTCAAGATTGTCAGGATATTGTAGTTGTGGAGAGATTGGGCCAAATGGGTCTTAGTTTTCTTTGGTCTAAACAGCTTTATTTGTGCTGTTAGTTCTGCTGTAGCGGGCCTGATTTTATTTTTTGTTTATGCTTTTAGTCAGCTGCCCAACTAAGAGCATTCTTGTAACATTACACATGCAAAAGCTCACTAAGATGTGATTGATGAAGTACTTAACTGTACTAATAATAGCATGCTACAATAAAGGTGAAAGCCTGAAAGCTGGAAAAGGAAGTCATGCATGCTTAAATTGACAAGATAAAAAGGGGCAAAAAAAGAAGTTATGCCATAAAAAGTTAAGCTATAAAATGTAATTGACATCATCAAGAACCCATACCACAGAATCAATGAGTTCTAATAGAAACAACTTTCCAGATTCAAGGGCAGCAGAACAATCTTCATTTCTCTTCATCAATCCCGACCCATCGGACAAGTCTGCTAGTTTTTCAAAGAGAACAGCAACACACACGCGTGCATATAATTCTGTGTTGATAAATGCCTTATAAGAAGAAAGAAAAAAGATTGTGTAGTTAGAGTCTCCGCTGGTACTAAGTCATATGAAAAATTCAAAAGAATGAAATAATATGTATATTACTAAATGGAAATATATTTATTTATGATCCTAGATGGAATTTCAATATCAAGTCACAATTTTGAGCAATCTGATTCATAACCAATAAATAAGAACAAGCAGAAGATAGATCACATAAAACAACATCAAGAAAACTATTACCAGAAAAACTAAAAAACAAACGAACACTGAGTCAAGAAACAAGAAGCAAGAAACTAGATTCACATAATTCAGCATAGAAGCCTACATCCAGAGGGGAGAGAGAGAGAGAGAGAGAGAGAGAGAGAGAGAGAAAGAGAGAGTAACATAAATCAACTATCAGAAAACGGATGATAAGTAGATCTTGGAAAAGAAAGTCACAATTCTATACACCCCATATCTCATGATTCTCCTCTCCCATCTTAACCACGGAATAACAATGGCCTAAATAAGCCCACATACCAGATGGACTCTTGGACAAGCCATACATCAGTTGGTTCACTGAACAAGGCACATGTTGGACATTCTATACACCAGTTGATTCACTGAACAATGCACGTATGCAAGTTGGCCTATTCAACGAGCCACGTAAAATGACAGAATTATGGATGGGGACCCAATGTAACCAGAAATAACACTGAGATATAAACCCGAAAAATACAAATATGTCCAATCTCTTTTTTTTTTTTGATGAATAAATATGTCCAATCTCTTCAAGCATCCAAAACTCACTAGACCTAGGAATCCACCCTAATGGTATTCCAAGGAACTTCATTGGCCACATTGTAACCTCACATCCTAGAATCAAAGTAAGGTGATCAACATCCTCTTCGTCCATATTTACACCTGCAATGTAATTTTTCTATCCATGCTTACTTTGTGTCTTGAAAACCACTCAAAAGTATCAATGAATGGTACTCTCCTTCCCTCCCTCCCTCAATTATACCAAGATTAGTTCCTCCTCCAACAAGGTGACAAGAGTATTGAAGATTACTATTTAAATCTTTAGAATCTCAGGAATGAGATGAATGTGTATCAGCTTCTCTATGGATTTGAGAGTTTAGAAGCAAAAACATGAATACTTAACTGTTGCAAGGTTCCTCTATAGATTCCAATCAGAATATGAACCAATTTATGCACAGATATTAGGGCATACTGATTTTTTGGCAATAAATAAAAAAAAAAGAAAATTTTTATTAAAGAAGAAAGGAAGAACAATGAGGTGATAAGACATCACTCAAACACAAATTAAAACCTGAGACCCAACACACCATTACCCTCCAACCCCTTTTAATACAAACTTTTCCTTCCCCACCCTTACAAACAAGAAAAGTAAACAAAGAAAACAATACTGCCAAAAACCAAAAAAAAAGAAAAAATCAAAGCCATCCATCCCCCCTAAGAACCCCAAACCAACAGTGACCCTACCAACTTTCACCAATCAGGTTTCCCCTTTAAAGCTTCCTTCATCCAAAGGATTTCTTTCTTCCAATTCCCCAAACAATCTTCTCAAAACTTCTTCCCCTCCTAAACAAGACAACTCTAGTATCTTGCTTACTTGGATTTCAGTTTCCACTATTTTTTCCAAATCCACATTTCCTTCTATTTTCCTTAATCAAAGATCATCTCATCTTTCTCTTCCCCTTCTGCAAGCTCTTCCTCTATTTCACCCTCATCCCCTTGTACCTCCCCTTCTCCTAACCAATTATCTTCTTTTTGAGCACCAGAAATTGTTTCCAAATTCCACTTAACCACTACACTTTCCAAAGAGTTCGATCTTCCTCTAGATTTGACTTTCAACCCCTTTCTCTTGTAGATCCTCTTGACCATTACTTTAGCCTTTGAATTTTTTCGAGTCCCCTACAGTGTTATCAACTTTTCTAGGTCCTTCCATTAAACATGTATTTCTCTCCCTTCCTAAGTCCACCCCAGCTTTCTAAGAAGACATACCATGGTTGCTTTTTTGCTTCCTTGCTTATTATTGGCTCAGTTTTATCAGGTTATATCAGACCTTAACAGATAAGAAACGATAAAAAGAAACTAGTATTTGAATTACAAAAATATTATAAACCAAAAAAATAAATAATTTAGTGTAAAAATAAATATTTTATTATTATAATATTTAAAAAAGTTATATATATATATATATATATATATATATATACAGCACATTTGAAGAAAAGAACACTAGGTGCTTGGGCAAGGTGGCCCTCCATGGGTGCTTTTTCACCTAGGCATCACTAGGGGTGCTCAGGGTTAGGTTAACCAAACCGTGGGCCTATTTTGCAAACTGAACCGGTAATACTGGTTTTGCAAAAACCGGTAACCGAAACTGAACCAAAGCCGACTGGTTAATCGATTGATTGGTTTAGCCAACAGCCAGTTCAGTTTGTCAGTTTTTTGGTTATTTGATTTTTATAATATATATTATAAATAAATATATAAATATATAAATATATACTAAAATATAGATAATATATATAAATATATGTATACCAGTCGGTTCGATTAATTGTCGGTTTTTTATATTGGTTAACCAAAACTGAACCGGTAATTTTGGTTTTTTGAAAATACCAAACCAAAACCAGACCGATTGGTTCAGTTAACTGGAAATTTTGATTCAGTCTCATCAGTTCGCTTCAGTTTTTTGGTTTTCGGTTTTTCATGATCACCCCTAGGCATCACCTTGACAACTATGCAATCAACTACTACTATGATCTCCATAGCCCACCTTCTAGTTGAGCCAACCATGCAGTGGTTAGTACCACAGGGAAATACATGGTCTTTATTAGTAAAGAAAATTACAAAACCTCATTTACTCTACCCCTTATCCAGTAACACAGATAGTAAGATACATTGGTTAAGAATTGCTTGTCTTGCTTCACAATTTAAGTCTTCCTCTTAGGTCATTGGTTTTGGGGCTTCAAATCATATTACTGAACCTCTAAGTGTGTTTAATTTCTAAACCCCTGTCTTCTTACCAATATGTTACACTTGTCAATGGAACTACATCCTTAGTTTCTAGTGGTTGTATTTCCTTCAATTCATCCTCATAATCATCTACGTTGTATGTTTGTAAACTTCCCTTCAGCTTGATATCAATTACTAAGAAAATTAAATCTCTTAGGCTCAGTTTGGTTATTATAATCTAACCTGCAGTTGAATTCCGTTAGAATAAGGATTGGAGAAGTAATAGAAAAGACTAGAAGAAGAAGTAGAAGAAGAAGAAGAAGAAGAAGAAGAAGAGAAGAGAATAGAGAAGAAGAAGAATTCTGGTTCGAACAAGAGAGATTAATCACCTCTCTAGTCGGTCAGGTTTAATTTATATGTTTCTATACAAAACAAAAAAAAACTCCTTTGCACCTACTTAAGTATGGGACACAACCACTAATAAAACATTACACATCAGCAGCTTTAAACATAAATATAAAGACCAAAATACCCCTACGCAGTCGACATTAACACTCCCCCTCAAGCTGGTGAGTATATATCATATAGTCCCAGCTTGTTACATATGTAGTCCACTCTCCCCTGACTCAACCCTTTGGTGAACAGGTCTGCCCATTGGTTTCTTGTGTTAACATGTGCAGTATATCACTCCACTCAGCACCTTCTCTCTCACAAAGTGACAGTCAACTTCTATATGCTTGGTTCTCTCATGAAACACTAGATTAAAAGAGATGTGGACTGCAGCCTGATTGTCACAACAGAGCTTCATTGGAGTGTCAATAGAATATCCCATCTCTTGTAGAAGGTTTCTCAGCCACACTAATTCACAAGTAGTATGTGCCATAGCTCTATATTCTGCCTCTGCACAGCTTCTTGCCACAATTGTCTGTTTCATACTTTTCCATGTCACCAGATTACCCCCAAGGAAAGTACAATAGCCTATAGTGGATCTCCTGTCAGATATAGAGTCAGCCCAATCAGCAACACTATATCCCTCTATTTCAAGTTTTCCTCCACTTCTATATATCAAGCCATGACCAGGAGCCCCCTTTAAATACCTTACAATCCTTAGAACTGCATCCCAATGTGAAACTTGAGGTTTCTGCATGAACTGACTCACCACACTAACTACAAATGAAATATCTAGTCGAGTAATGGTTAGGTAGTTTAGTTTACCCACCAACCACCTGTACCTTCCAGGATCTTCAAACACCTCACCCATATCATTGCTCAGCTTAGTATTTGATTCCATAGGTGTTTTAGCTGGTTTGGCGCCTAATAATCTTGTTTCTTCCAACAAATCAAGAACATATTTCCTCTGACACAAATTAATACCATGCTTAGACCTTGCTACTTCTATCCCCAAGAAGTACTTCAGTTTACCAAGGTCCTTTGTCTGAAAGTGTTCTTGCAGAAATATCTTCAACCTATCAATTCCTGATCTCACTCCCGATAATGACAATATCATCTACATATACCACCAATAAGATCTTTCCGGCCTAAGAGTCATGATTGAAGACTGAGTGATCAACCTGACACTATTTCATACCAAACTTCTTTACCACCTCAATAAACCTACCAAACCACGCATAGGGAGACTGTTTAAGTCCATAAATGGCCTTCTTTAGTCTACACACCTTACCATCATCCCCCTGAGCAACAAACCCCGGTGGTTGCTTCATATAGACTTCCTCAAGTAGATCACCATGTAAGAAAGCATTCTTGATGTCAAGCTGAAAGAGAGGCCAATCATACATAGCAGCTAGAGATATCACAACATGAGCTGAACCAATCTTAGCAATAGGAGAGAAGGTCTCTGTGTAGTCAATACCATATGTTTGGGAATACGCTTTGGCAACCAATCTAGCTTTTAACCGCTCTACACTACCATCAAGTAAATACTTAACAGTGTAAACACACTTACAACCGACAGCCTGCTTACCAGGATGAAGTGTGGTGAGGTCCCACGCATGATTATGAGTTAAGGCAGAGAGCTCTTCTTCCATTGTATGGCGCCAACCTGGAGAGGCAAGGGCTTCCTGGACATCCGTGGGAGCAACAATAGAAGATAACAAGGAGATAAACTGGCGATGGGAAGCAGAAAGGTTAGTGAGAGAAACATAATTAGAAATAGGATGGAGAGTGCAACTGCGTTTACCTTTCCGCAAGGCAATGGGAAGATCAAGTTCAGAAACCGGGGTTAGAGCTAGTGTTGGAACAACTGTCAGATCTATCGACGATGATGGAGCTGGAGGAGTCGGTACATGTTGGCGATGTGTATACACTTGACGAATAGGTGGTTGTTCAACAGGAGGTGGCACCGGAGGCAAAGACTTGGTCACAGTTGGAACAAGTGGAATGGGATCCGCAACTGGAACTGGAAGAGGAGGAGGTGATGAGGAAGAAGAAACATCACCTGACCCCGAGAAAAACGAAGTGGACTCAAAGAATGTAACATTAGCGCACACAAAGGACTAACGAGAGCTAGGATTATAACACTTATACCCTTTCTGGGTCCGGGAATAGCCAAGGAAGATACACTTAATGGATCGTGCATCTAACTTGTCCCTTCCCGGCCCTAGATTAGGAACAAAACAAACACACCCAAAAACCCGAGGTGAAAGGGGAAACAGAGACAATGTAGGAAACAAAGTGGTGAAAGGAGAGTGACCTTCAAGGATGGATGTGGGCATCCGATTAATCAAAAAACAAGATGTAAGTACATCATCACTCCAAAAGGGTTTGGGTACATTCAGATGATGCATAAGGGACCAAGCAGTTTCCAAAAGGTGATGGTTCTTTCTCTCAGCTACCCCATTTTGCTATGGGGTATAGGTACATTAAGTTTGATGGATAATGCCATGTTGTTCCAAATACTCCTGAAATGGTGTATAAAAGTATTCACAGCCATTATTGGAACAGAGAGTTTTAATGTGGACACCAAATTGCTTGCGAATTTCAACATAAAATTTTTGGAAAATGGTAAACAATTCACTCCTTTCTTTCATTAGGTAAAGCCACATCATCCTTGAATTATCATCAACAAAAATAACAAAGTATCTATAACCATTGTATGACATTACTTTATTTGGACCCCAAACATCTGAATGAACYAAAGAAAAAGGACTCAACATGTGATTATCAACCCTAGGACTAAAGGGAACACGATGATGCTTCCCCAACTGACATGACTCACAATCCAAAACAGAAAGATGACTCAACGACGGAACAAGAGACTTCAAAACTCTAAGTGATGGATGACCAAATCGACAGTGCCACTGGAGAGGAGAAAGAGATGTCTGAAGAGTTGTAGATGCACTTCCACCACCATCAAGGTAATACAGTCCACCAGCTTCATGCCCTCCACCAATCTTCATCCCCGTCTTGAGATCCTGAAAACACGAAGAAGGGTAAAAAGTGATAGAGCAATTAAGAGACTTGATCAACTTACTAACAGACATAAGGTTAAAAGGAAACTTGGGGACATACAAAACTGAGGATAAAGATAGAGGGTCTATGTTAACATTTCCAACACCACAAATGGAGGATGTGGAACCATTAGCAAGGGTAACAAAGTGTGATGTTGGGCACTGAGAGAGGGAGGAAAACACACCTGGAGTTTCAGTCATGTGATCGGAGGCTCCAGAGTTAATTATCCAGGGATTAGGTTTGGATGCCAGACAAGCCATACCTGAGTGTGCAAGAGTGGTTGTATTCTGTTAAGATGTGACCTGAACAAACCTCTCATACTCATCACGTGGAACACTCATCATCTCCTTCCCAAGAACATTTGTGGATATAGAGAGCATCTGATCAGCTGGATAACTCTCCTGTCTGGAACTACTATCACTGGTCACCACATGATTTGCCCAAATTGAAGGTGGACCATGCAAATCATAACAATAATTGATGGTATGTTCGTCCATAACACAATGTGTACATCTTCATGGACCAGAACTGCATCCTCTACCACAAACTCCCCCTGAATCTCGACCTCTAGTACGGCCACCACCACGACTATACATAGGTCCACCACCACCACTACGACCATATACCGGTCCACTACTACCACTATGGCCAGATTGAGCTCCCCAAGCTCCACCTCTAACACCATGGCCTCTTGATACTGCAAAGGCTGACCTATCAGAGATACTAGAATTCTCGGTAGATCCAATCGAAATCCTCCAAAGCTGAGCAAACACCTCTTCTAAGGAAGGAAGAGCTGATACTCCTAGTATCTGTGCCCGTACTGGTTTATATTCAGATTTCAGCCCTACCAAAAATCTGGTCACATGTAGTTGTTCCCTCTACTGTTGTTGAATCTTAACATCAAAGGTGAGGGGGTGACACACATTCAGCTCATTGCGAAGGTTTCTCATGCTAGCATACTACTCCTCACGACTCTAATTACCTTGTTGCAGATTAAAGTATTCCTGATAAAGCTAGTATACTCTAGTTGTGTTGTCTTGTCCCGAATACAACTTCTTAGCATGGTCCCAAACTTCCTTGGCTGTATCAAGAAACATGAAATTCAGACTAATCTTGGGTTCCATACTATTCCATAACCAAGTTATAATCTGTGCATCTTCTTGTTCCCCAATCACCATACTCATGAGAATCAGTAGAGGGTTTTTCTTCCCTTATATGCTTCACTTTCTTCTTTGCTTTAAGAAAGACTTCTACAGATTTCGCCCAAGGCACATAGTTTTCTCCATTCAACTTGAGAGAAGTCATCTAAACATTCAGGTAGTCGGTGGGAACCATCACACTAGTTTTACTTTAATTGTTGTCCCCCATGGCTGTAAAAAAAAAAAAATCCTTATTTCACCTCCCACCACACTGCACTCAGCACCACTTGTTGCTGAATTCTTCACTCTCCACAACACAACCCTACTACACGACTACCTAAAAACTTATCACACTACTCGCAACTCACTCATCCTTTGAATCACACTAAAATCTTCACAAACCCTAACACACGACAATCTGAATTTTCATCACACGACTTGGAACACATCAACCATTTGTTTCACACTGAACAACTGCACAAAATCACTTACCTAATCACCAGAAAATCAACCTGCACTCGACACTCCACTGCATCACTCGAATCAGCCCTCTTCTCTCCATCGGTTAGGGGGGGGGGGCTTCCTACAAACCACTGCAAACACCCACGAACCTGCTGACCGGAGGCATAGAAACCTCCAAGGGAAGAGGGCGATCACTCCTTTTTAGCCCTTTTCCTTATCTCCAACTAATGACGAAGAAAAAAATTAAAAAACCCTAGGCTGGATATGTGAAAATCAGAATTCTGGGCAGATTCGATTTTGTCAACCTAGCTCTGATACCATATTATAATCTAATCTGCAGTTGAATTCTGTTAGAATAAGGATTGGAGAAGTAATAGAAAGACTAAAAGAAGAAGTAGAAGAAGAAGAGAAGAGAATAGAGAAGAAGAAGAAGAATTCTGGTTCAAACAAGAGAGATTAATCACCTCTCTAGTCGGCCAGGTTTAATTTATATGTTTCTATACAAAACAAAAAAAGATTCCTTTGCCCCTACTTAAGTGTGGGACACAACCACTAATAAACCATTACATATCAGCAGCTTTAAACATAAATATAAAGACCAAAATACCCCTACACAGTTGACATTAACAGGTTCCTTTACCTACATGGCTACACCACTGGATTTAATAGCTACTCTGGGTGCACATTACCCCTTGCCACACAAGCAACCACCGAACTGTGGTACACTGGTATTACACTTGTTGCATGGAGATCCATTGAAATGGCACTCCAATATCAAGTTGCATTAAATTTTGTATTTTAGAGTGATATTGCCCACTTCTTGAGGGTATAAAGTGTAACAATGGAGCCATTGTTCTGAACCTGTCTGATCTGATTATGTCTGGAGATGAGATGACTTCCATGAGCAGCATGTCTGCACCCATGAGATAAGTAATCCTAATTCAGCTCTGGTGCATTAGAAAATATAGCTAGGCTAGGAACTAATGGCATAGAAGGGACAGATCTACTGCTTATAGTTGTCAGTCCATGATGAAATAAAAGAAAAACTTTGTAAATAAAGTGGACCAGCTTACTTCAGTGAGCTCAGGATCTGGGCTTTTAGCTAGTAATAAGACCTCTGTCCTTGCATCTTGTTCAGCCAATTCAGCTTCAAAATCCTCATCAAAAGCCACTGGTTGCAAAAGATGCAAATTAAAAACAAAATGTCAAAGTAGTTGTATACATATTAAAGAAGGAAAGACAATGAACACAAAAGAAAAACAAATAAAAGAATGAATGGATGAATGGAAGAGAGTAAATACCAGAACCATAGAGTGCAAGCAACTTAAGCTCTTTAATGTAGTACTTTATGATTCTTGGATATAAGAGCCATAAGCCTGTCAGGTGTAATGCAGCAAGACGAATGGTACGGGGACTTTTTCCACCTTCATCAAGAATTTTCTTAACAAACTGCAGCAAATTATATTTGAGGCATAAAAAAAACTAACAAAAATTATTGGATAAGCATCTATGCTAAACTGATGAAAAGAAAAGGAGAAAAGGAAAAAAAAAAAAGATAATCATGGAAAGTTAGAGAAGGAAAAAGGAAGGATACTGAAGGATTGACATTGAAAAGTTCATACTGATGTTTTTCCAACAACAATCTGAGAGGTTGCAACAAGGCAGGAAGGCCTGCAGAGGTCATGGTATGGACAGGAAGTAAGAGATGTTTGCAGGTATGGTGCTTGCTTTGGGGTTTCTTCAATGTAGTTCTGAGGCCATTTAGTTTGGTGTTACCATGGTGGGCTAGTCCTAGTTCATCTTGAGAAGCCTGCTTCTTTTGCTTATTATTGGAGCAAAGGACAGTGTATCGATTTGTTCATAGTTGTCAAAGCGTCGCCTAGGCGACTAGGTGCCCTTGGCTGGGCGCCTCGCCCAAACGCCTTAACTTTTAGCAACTAGGTGCCCTTCTAGGCAACTAGGCGCCCGCCTAGGCGACAAAAATGACAAGGCGGGCGCCATTTATAATATCATTTATATTGTTGTCTTATTAATGTATGTGTTAGTACATTTTATTATATGCTATATATATATATATATATATATATATATATATATATAT